GGTTTAGGATATGGGCGGCTGTCTCTAAGGCATACCCCCAAAAAGATATCGGAAGTGTAGCTTGACTCATCATAGATCGAACCATGTCCAACAATGTTCGATTTCTCCTTTCAGCTACACCATTCAACTGTGGTGTTCTGGGAGGAGACAATTGTGAAACTATTCCATAATTCTTAAGATGATCGTAGAATTCAAGACTTCAGTATTCTCCACCCCTATCGGATCGGAGCATCTTGATCTTTCTGCCCAATTGGTTCTCTACTTCGTTTTGAAACTCTTTGAACACCTCGAAAGTTTCTGACTTATGCTTGATTAGATAGATATATCCATATCTACTGAAATCATCGGTAAAAGTCACGAAGTATCTTTATCCATGTCTTGTGGCGGATTTGAAGGGTCCACAAACATCTGTGTGGATGAGGTCCAACAAATCCTTGCCTCTTTCACAGTGGCTTGTGAATGGCGCTTTTGTCATCTTGCTAAGTAAGCAAGATTCGCATACATCATCTGACTTGGGGTCAAATGATTCCAAGATTCCATCAGATTGGAACTTGGCAATGCGTTTCTTGTTTATATGGCCAAGTCGACAATGCCACAAACATGATTTATCTAATTCACTATTAGATGAACCAACATTCATAATTAGTTTATCAAAATCACCATCACAAACAACACTTTCATACACACCTTTACAAGGACTAGCTTTAAAAATAAAACAATCATTCTTATAAACCAAAATGTCACCATTATCATTATCAAAAGAAAAACGACAACCATCCTTATAAAGTGCATGAAAATAAATAATGTTTCGTGCCATATCAGGCGAGTAGCAACAATTTAATAAACTAAGATAAACACCACACTAAGCATGAGCTCATAGTTCCCAATCCTTGTAACAGCTGACTTGTGCCTGTTCCCCATGATTAGGTTGAGCTCACCATGCTTCAACTTCCTACTTTGTCTTAGTCCATGCATATCAGAGCAAATGTGAGTACCACATCCTGTATCAAGAATCCAAGAGTTAGAAGTAGATGTGTTATGGAGTTCTATCATGAACATACCTGAGGTGCTAGCCACCTTGACTTTGCCCTTCTTAAGGTCCTCGAGGTATTTAGGGCAACTACGCTTCCAGTGTCCCTTTTCCTGACAGTAAAAACAAATGGCTTCACTCGGATCTGAAGAAGGAGCTATTTCAGCTTGGGCCCTTTTCTTGGGAGCAGGATCAGACTGTCTGATCTTACCCTTACCCTTTCCTTTGGGTTGAGGCGCCCTTTTCCTTTTGGCAGAACCACGATCAATAGCCAGTACGGGAGCAGTAGGGTTGGAGTTGTTGGGCTTCTTCATGCTCGCTTCAACAGTTTTGAGCATGCCATGCAACTCCATCAAGGTCTTGTCAAGTCCGTTCATATTGAAGTTCATGATAAACTGTGAATACGAACTAGTAAGCGAGTTCAAAACCATGTTAATGGACAACTCCTTAGGCAGCTCGACACCTAGATTCCCAAGTCTGTCTATGTACGACTTCATCTTTTGGACGTGCGCACACACAGAAGATCCCTCTTATAGTTTACATGCCATGAGGGATTTGACGATCTCGAATCGTTCTTGCCTAGCTTGCTCTTGAAACATTTCCTCGAGCTGCTGGTTAATGTCAAAGGCACCCCATGTTTCAAAGTTCTTCTGGAGACCAGAAGCCATGGCTGCTAACATAAGGCAAGCCACTTTGGTTGATTCATCGTAATGCTTGTTGTAGGCAGTAACTTCTTCTGGGGTAGGGTTTTCTCCAAGCACGGGGACATCTTCGTCGAGAACATACTATTTGTTCTCATATCTTAACGTGATCCTCAAGGTTCTTATCCAATCAAGATAGTTGGATCCATCCTCCTTGAGTCTCTCCCTATTAAGAACCGGCATTAGAGAGAAGCTTGAGTTTTGAGTTAGAGGAGGAGGAGGAGGAGGAGGAGGAGGCAGATTGTTGTTGTTGTTGTTGTTGTTGGCTTGGTTCGACATCTACAAAAGATAAGACTCCAATTAGTTTGATATAAGTCCTTAATTAATAATCACCCTAAATAAATTATTTTATTAAGGCTAGGATCCATATTTGGCTTCATGATGTGTAAAGGGATGCCGTAAACACACCACAAAGTTATTTAGGTAGACAAAGCTCTTTGTCAATTTCAATCACTATGAAATTCCTAGATCTTTGAGATTCATTGACTATCAATGGCATGTTAATCTCGGATTATGTTCATCTCAAACTCAATGACGGGGATGCCGCGGATCATTGAACAAATGGTGAATCACCCATTCAAAATTGCGTGGTCCCCGGCTCAAGTTACGCTTGAGATTCGCGAGTCTCACATCATTTTCTACCTATACCATCCAATTGACGTGCCGGTTAACCACACGAGCTTCATCAACAAGTTATAAAGAGAATGTGCAATTTTCATGGATAACATAAGATTCACTTTTTAAATAAAACGGGATTTTGTTTTATACTTGTATTTAGAATACTTTTAGATTGACCATTATCACTATCAAACCCTTTCGGTAACTCCATTCTCAAAATGCAATAGGGCGGTGAGGGTGGTAAGCGCGTAGCATATTAAAAACCGACCTCATTAGGAATCATAGAGACCTCCTTTAAACCCATACATTAGAACGGGTGAGCCTAGTCGAGGTATGACTAACAATGTCAATATTTAAAATATGCGAGGACGCATATTGTAATTCTCATATACATACAATATATGAATCTTACATATATATAAGGGGTAAATTTAAAAACACTTTAAATTTAGTTGTCTATTATTAATTCAAATTAATTACAAGGATGCAATATAACAATTAATAAAACATGAGGGGTCAATATTTAAATTTATAAAACTCTATTATAAATAATATTAAAATATTTAAAATCACTATTTAAATAATAAATAAATATTCAAATTCAAATAAACATATTTAAATGATATTTATCTATTTCCAGATTTACACAATTAAAATTTGACATTTATCCATATTTATCAAAACTTCAAATTCGAAAAATGAAGGAAAATTCGAAAATCCCGAATCTGCTGAGTTCACGTCGTGAACAGCTTGTTCACGTCGTGAACCCCGATTAGGGTTTTATCACATTACGAATTTTTGTTTACTCACTCATCATTCAGTTTCAAACAAGTATTTTCCAGAAAACATGGATGTAGGGTGATAGTAACCATGAACCAATGGCTCTGATACCACTGTTGTGTAATACATGCATCAAATACACTCTATAACTAGGCAGCGGAAGAATCGAAACAACAAAACGATTTACCTGAGTGTACATGCACCCTATGGATCTATGGCTTCATGTTATTACTTCTACCCTATGAAATCCAAAAATACAAGGAAGAATACTAACCTCTTTAGCAGCTAATGATCTTCGAGCTTGACTCCTTGTGTGTGCCACCTTGTTTGGATGATGAAGATCCAAAGTAGAATGTCTCTCTTGGTTCACACCCAATGAACTCAAATGAGTAGAAACAAATATAAACTAGGAGGGATGAACTATAAGGAAAGTTCTTCCACAATGAGGGAGAAAGAAGATGGCGAATACTCAAGCTAAAAATGAGCCAGGAGGAATGAATCCCTAAGGCCCTATTTATAGCCTTGGATACCTCCTAGGGTTTTATCCTTCCATCCATATGGGATGGGATAGGCTATGAACGAAATTCCCTTTATCCAAATGGAGATTTCGTCCAACCCCCTTCCTTCTAGGGTTCTGGAATGTTCCCTGATTAACCAACTATTGATTAACTTACATTCAACCCTTCTATTAATTAAACTGTTAATTAATTCCCAAATTGTTTTCCAATTAGTTTCTAATTAATTATTAAACAATAATAATTAATAAACTAATCACTCCTATTATTTATTCTACTCAATTCTGAGTCTTGAGGACAACCCAAGAAGACCCTGCTATTATTAGAAATATCACCAACTAGTTAATGACCTTGGATATACTTCCAACAGGGCGGTGTTCACGCGTGAAGGGGGCTGACACGTCAGCTCCCACGCGTCCTTTCCCCCACCACTCCGGGCAGCCTCATGGTAGGTTGGTGGTGGAGCTGAAATGACGCTGAGTTGGCAGCGTTTTTCCGGTGGCTTAAGTGTGGCCACTACCCATAACATAAAAGAAAGCAAACCTTTTTAGTCGTGTTGGGAACAAAAAGATTCATTACAATTATCAAGCCAATGTCATTGTTTGATGTTTATCCTTGTCCAGGTTTGCTTTATTTTATCTTCCCACATTCTGAAGTTTATAATTATATAGGATTTCAACTATTGCTTAACGAAACATTAAAAAGACTAACCAAACATACATCGCTGAATCTTGTGGCTCTAATTCAAAACAATTATATAAAAAAAACAATGTAATCTCAAAATTGGTTATTTTCGGTTATGAAACTGTAAAACAGAAACCATACACTACTCCTCGGTTTGGTTATTGGTTCCTCAATACCCATGAAACCTGGTTCCAGTTTTCGGCTTTTCAATTCTTATTCGATTCGGTTCAAACGGAACCAATTTATAAAAATAGGCCGCGACTTTATGGGTAAAATGTCATTTTCCTAACTTTTACATAAAGTCTTCATTCTATGTCATGTTAAATCATGTATCTATAATGTGGTAGAATGAGTAATGCTGTATGTGCAGATAAAATATTGTATCCACAAGGTGTGTTTTTTTAGATCAAAATAGGACTAAATAACCATTTTACCTTTCATTTTAAAAAAGCAAGTTTCAAAACATTCTTCAGTGAGAGAAGTAGAGAAGGAAAAAGAGCAAATAGGTAACTTGTAAGTGTTAAACTCATTAAGTTGTGTTATTCGTTTAAACCCATTAAGCTATCCAAATTAAGTGCTTAACCATTAAGCTCATTAAGTAAAAAAGAAACATCCCCTTAAACTTGTCTCCTGTAAGTCCATTAAGCAAAAAAAAAAAAAAAAAAAAAAAAAACACCACCTTAGGGTAAGATAACATAAGGCTAATAACATATGTAATGAAATTTGAAATATTAGAAGATGTGTAACAAAGATGCAGTTAGACAACATCTGTACTACTGAGTTGACCCAAGTGCAAGATCGTGCCAAATATCTCCATCCGCTTGTGGTGCCTCATGATCTGATAAACAAAATGATTTTATCAAAGTACATAAATACAAAGCAACAATTAATGAATACCATTTTAATATTCTTGTTTAAATAAATGATAATGAAAATTTGTTGTTTGTTTGACACAATGGAATGGAGTGGAGTATTCAATTATTCTGTTCATTCCATTCCATCATACCAAAGGCAAACAGACCCTAAGAACATCAATGGGGCAAAATATATAATGAATTTTGGGAAGGTTTTCTGGTTTTTACAGCATCAATGGAGTTCAAAGAATGCTAAACCATGCAAGTTTTGTTCAATTGATAGATAAATACTAACAACCCAATCCAAACAAGACATGCGATTCAGTTATTCAGTCGTAAATAAAGCAGACACCAAAAAAAAACCCTAAGAAGATAAATAGATAGAAATATTTGTTTGTTAACAGCAAGAGAAAACATACTGGAATCTTCAGCATCATCATTCCGAGGGACGAGTGATGGGGGTAATGCGAGATCTGTTAAAACAGAGTATCAACCATTTAATTTAAGCATAAATTCTCCAATTTCATGAAGCTTTTAGTATTTCAAGAAAGAAAGTGAAAGAAGTAACGTACCATCGTCAGGAAGAGTATCTCTCATCCATTCGTCGTCGACGACGTCAATTAAAATCCCTAGGGTTAACTCTTGTGCCATTCTTCGCCCCTAACCAGATCATTTACAAAGGGAAAAAAGATGAAATTAGTTTCCAATGATGCATCGTTGTTATGCGAATAGATTAGTCTAAGAATCGAATAAGTGGAGCGGGGCTTACAGTGGGGTTGTCGTGGATGAAGCTTCACACTGGAGAAAGGAGTAGGATAGAAAGGGATGAATGGATAATAAATTGTCTACTTGATTTTGTTAGGAGGGAGGGGGAAGGGATTTGAAGAAAATGGAGAATAATTGCAAAAAGGGTAAATGATTTAAGTCTTAATGAAGTATCGTTTTTGTTCTATCTAGTCAATTTTTTTTTACATCATTTAGTATTGAAGTTGTTGTAGATGTTTAAAAAATATCCTCATTATCGGTTATTGAAGGTTTCAAGCAACTTTGTCATCTCCAGCGACTCTTCGGTCATCTTCTTCCACGAGTCTCTGACGAATATTAGTTTTCCGGTGATTTCAAACATTTTCTTGAAATCATTTAAACCAAAATACATATGTTAGATTTGTAGGTCCTGAAATTGTTTAGTTCAGAAAACCAAGAACTTGCTGGAAAAAACAAGAAATCATTTAGGGATGAAAACTAAGAACATACACACATCAGGGTTGAGGGTTCTGAAAATAAATGAACACACTCCTAAAAACGATTTCTAGATGAACACACTCCTGAAAGTCTAGAGCCGCCCCTTATGCCGGATCACCACCTTCATGTCATTTGTTCATCTCCACCTTCACTGTCGTTAAGTCACCTTTATCGGAGCTTCCTTCACTACTAACCCTAAACCACCAGTGAGTTATCTTCAACGCTAAACCCTAATGTCGTCGGAACCTATGTTGGCTAGGGTTTTATGGTTCGAGGGCTAGAGTTTTCAAGTTCGAGGGTTAGGGTTTTTTGGTAGCAGCAACCATACTAGGCTAGCTAGGTTTTCAAGATCAGAGTCGTCACTGGTAAAAGGTGTAAGGATTTTCCAAATTGGAGTCATCAATGTAATCATCTCTCGGTTTCTTTCTCTGGCGAATTCGGCATCGGATACTACTAGGATTCTGGTGGCTGGATATTATTTATTTCTTCGTCAATGTTCGGTTCATCGCCAACAAAGTCTAGTCCGCCACCAACGAAGTCTGGTTCATCTATGGTTCATCAATGTGTGTCGAATTTCGGCGAAGTCCTTAGCAAAGTAACCAGGCACTTTGTGACATCCCCATTTTCACGGCCAGAAAAGACCGATTTTGTTTATGCTTTATAAAAATCAGAGTATTTCTTTTAATAAAAATGTTGCGGAATTTGTTCCCAGAAAAACATGATAAATGTGTTATCAAAGCATTTCCGAAGAAATGTATTTTTATTCATTTTAAAACCTTGGGATGTCATCGTCAATACAGGAACATAAGCATAAACAGAACTTACTTTCATTTACACTAGTGATCTACATCTCTTTTAATCTCTCAGTGTAAAGTAGCTTCGTATCGACACTAGTGATACAAATAAGCTGGAGTGGGTCAGGTTGGGAAACCTGGTGAGTACATAGGGTTTTCAACCCACTATAATATAACTATATTATATTTAATCATCAAACAATTAACCAAATTACCCATCCCCATTATCTTCCTTGTTCTTAAGGATCTAACCTAAGAATCAGCTATTCCTCGTTCATTCATTCCTAAGGATCATCCTAAGGAATCGGCACGAAGTCCATCGTTGTCATAGTTTACACAACGGGCACTAAGTCTGCATAGTCGCCAGGGTTTATACAACAGGCACTAAGTCCGCATAGTCGCCGGGATTTAGGCAGTAAGTCTGCATAGTCGCCAAGGTTTTGGCACCAAGTCTGTATGATCGCCAAGATTTAGGCACCAAGTCTGCATGATCGCCAGGGTTTAGAGTACACCGGGTGAACACATCGTTCACAACACCTACAGGTTGCGAGCCTGCTAGTGTTCCACTGGACTGTCTAGAATAGTCCGTGGTTGTCATCCATACTCTGCTAGATGACGGGGACATCATTTGGGAAAAAGGCTTCTCACATCGTCCACCTCTCACCCTTACCTCATGGTCTATATCACCTCTCAACTCATCATCCAACTCATATTTCATCTACCCATGTTTTACCCAACATATTATGTAGATATAAAATACATATACAGTTTAAATCATTTAAAACATGTATAAAATCGTTCATCCATCATAGATAGCAAGTATACATATAATATGCACACATAGCACGTAATTTATATAAAATACTTCATATCTATGTGTAAAATGAAAGTAACTATGCACTCACTTGTTAAAGTGATGATTCCAAACTCGGGCAGCGCTTCGCTTTTAATGATTCTATTTTCCTTCGACGAAACCTAGCATTATTATCGCTAAAGTTTAGTCTAATATTCACTGAGACTAATTAATAGTCTAGCTATCATTACTATTATATAAGCGTTAAACAATACTCTTCACCCACTATGTACAGACAGGGGCCAGACATGGAACACCGGAGGGCAGGATCATTTTGGCATATAGCACTTCTGAATCCAGCAACCCAAGCGGCCCTCCAAACCAGATTCCCTGTACCGCGAGTGGTTAAAAAGATATTATAACGACACTTATATAACCTATAATAATAGCCCAAATAATTATTATAAGGTCCTAATAACATTACTATATTTAAATAAAAGCTATATTAAATATAGTATAGGCGTAGCTCACTTACAGCGGGTTTTTATTAAAAACCGGGCTTCGCTGGAGCAGCGTTTCCGAGCCGAAAGCTTTTATTCTCGGAGCCGTCGGGCGCTCCGTGGCTTCCTTCTCGTGCTAGGGAGGTTCCCTAGACTTGGGAGGGGTTTAGGGAGGCTAGAGAGAAGTTAGAGAGAGAAAGAAAGGCTTATGGTGTGAGTAAAAAATATGAAGAGTTCGCCCTTTATTTATAGGGATTTTATAGTAAAGTAGCCCCTAAGTTTCGTCTGTATCTTCCGCGTACGAGCTCCGTTTTCTACGTTCTTTATATCCACGCGTTGGTATTTACGAGTACTACAACTTTCATTTAGACTTTGTCGGCTAATTCTCCTTCTATCTCAAATTTACAAAAACTGTATCGTATTTATCGCGCACGAAGAGTAGCGACTAAGCTTCGTCCATATCTTTCGCATACGAGTTAGGGATGCCAATGGGAGCAAATGGGACGGGAAGTGCATCCCCCGCCCCCGCCCCCAAAATTTCTCCATTCTTCCGTCCCCGCCCCCGCCCCCGAAATGTTCAACCTTCCTACCCCCGCCCCCGCCCCCGAATCCCCTTTATTACCCCCGTCCCCGATTGATTTTCGGCTGCCTTTTTTTGGGCTAAAAATAGTTGTTATTTATGCTAAAAGAAACTATTTTTTAGGTAACAAATAATTATTTATAGCGGAATTTTAGATGTTAAAAATAAAAAAGTTATGGCATCTTAAAAACATTATACTAACAACTTAAAAACATGATTTTTGATGAACTCTGGAAGCTCAAAATCATGTTATTGTTTATTATATTTATATAATAAATATATGTAAATATATATGTAATTTATTAACGGGGTCCCCATGGGGGTTTCGGGACGGGATTGCCTACCCCCGCCCCCGCCCCCGAAATTAAAACGGGGGTTAACCTTGCCCCCGCCCCCGTCCCCACCCCCGATTTTTTTAATAAAATTTCCCCAAATGGGACGGGGCCCCCACGGGAACGGGGTCCCATGAGACTTTTTGACATCCCTAATATGAGCTTCGTTTTGGACGTTATTTATATCCACGCGTAGGTAAAAATAAAATCTACAACTTTCCTTTTTACTCCGTTGGCTAATTCTCGACCGATCTTAAATTTAACAGTAGGAGGTGATTATATTGTTAAATGTCTGCGTAAATTTCATAACTTCTACATACGGACTCCGTTTTCGTCTGTATTTTTATCGTTGAGTTCCTATTAATGAGATATTCAACTTTCATTTAGGTTGCGTAGGCCAAAAACCGCTCGAACTAAAAATTCGAGTTTCGGGCCATGCACTGCTATGCCAAATCTTAGAAAATTCATAACTTCCTCATACGAAGTTAGATTTGGGCGTTCTTTTTTATGGATGTTGTCGGTTTAACATATTCTACGACTTTCGTTTAGATCACTAAGGCTAAAAGTCACTCTATCGTAAATTCACTATTTACGTCTCCCGGTGTCGTGCCGGTTTTGCCGAAAAACTTCGACGGGCCATAACTTCTTCGTTATAACTCGGATTTCGGCGTTCTTTATATGTACGGAACCCTTGAGACATATTCTACAACTTGGTTAAGATTATTTATTCTAAATAATTTTTTGTCGAAAAGTCGTTTTCGACCCCTATTATCTCTAAATTGACTAGCCCAGATCTACGGACGTTACACACTTGGAGAATGTGCTCCACTGTTGGAGATGCACTCCTAAAGCATGGAGAATATGCTCCTAACATGGAGAATGCGCTCCTGATGTAGAGAATGTGATGTTGGCTCGGAGAATACATTAGGTAGATAATGGAGGTTTAAGGATATGTTGCTTGATGTTGAATGCGCTCCATGCATAATGAATACGTCTTATGCATGAAGAATGTGTTGCCTAGGTGCATGGCATGTGGTCTTGTAATTGACTAATTCCTTTTAGGGATACACTAAATCTAATGGGCTAAATCTAATGTGTTGCCTAGGTACATAGGGATACGCTAAAGCTAATGGGCCATGCATATCCATAATTAGGCCCTAAAAGAAATTAGTCAATTACAAGACGTCATGTAGTTGCTTCAAGAATCTTCAACCTTGAGGGGTGTGTATGTGTGTACAAATTTCAAGAGAGCAATCATTGTGACGATAAGAGCATATCCACCAAACCATATTAAATATTGTGTTTAGGTTTACAATTTTTCGATTTTTGTTTTTCAGAAGTTTATTCTGTTTTACCGAAATTGTTTATCATTTTTCTAAAGTTGCTTAACTTGTTTTGGTGTTTCCAAATAGTATATAGTTATTGAAGCTCTCTTTGTAAAAAAAAAATTACATAAACATATAACAAATATAAAGATTTACACATGTCCAAGGTTGACTAACAATCATATCTTTCTACTAACGAAAAATAATGTTTAATTTAACACAAATGGCATAATAGTTCTCATTATATTTTTGCAAATTCTAATTTCTTTTATTAATACATATTTGTAAATAAATTGTATGTAACTGTATACATAATTATAGAAATATTTAGGGATAATGACTTAAAAGGGTAACATATTATTGGTTTTGTACACATTTAGTCCCTGACTTTTTTTTGTCCACATTTTACCCTTGAACTTGTTGTTGTGTTTAAATTAAATCATTATTACCGGTTGCTTCCAGTTAAGCCGGTCATTTTGTGTTTTACTGGTTTACGTGGCAATTACGTGGCAGTTACCCTCTTCCACCCTCATTTATCAAAAAACCTCATTTACGAACGAAGATCAATTAGGGTTATATTGTCTTTATTCTCATAATTCGTTCTTGATCGGTTCCACATTACTCACACTTCTCTTCTCTCAAAACACCATTCTGATTCAATGGAGGAAAATCAAGCTTTTCCAAAAGTCGATGTACACTATAATGGTACTTTTGTGCCTAATCTGTTAGTGTATATTTTGCTCCACAAGTACTACGTCTTAATGAAGATGCAAACGAGTTTGGTTTCTCCGATTTCATCAAATATGTTGAGAAGCTTATCGATTTTCAGTGCAAGCATGTGTATTACTGTATACCTGAAGTGAGATTGAGTGGGGGCTCCAAACACTACAAAATGAATGTGACTACTCTGAGTTTCTTGAGGTTGCAAATGCTAACAGACATGTGGATGTGTATATTGACCATGATAATGAACCTCTATTTGAGTGGATTCAGAAAGAAGAACCAGACGATGAAGAACTTGTGTATTCAGAAGAAGATGTCGACTCTGTTTTGGCAGATGATGAGAACTGTGAACATGAAGAGGATGAATGTGTTACATCAAGCAAAAGAATCTTCAAAAGAACCTATAATGATAAGTTTTTGAACAAGTTATGTCCAGTAGTTGTTGAAGATGAAGATGAAAAAGGCAATGAACTTCCAGCTGTCTACCCTAGGCATGATGCTACTCAGGAATGGAGGAAGATGAAGCCTGAACTAGGTATGAGATTCTCTTCTCCTGAAGAACTTAAGTCATCTCTCAGTAACTATGCAGTTGTACATGGATATGACTTGTATTATGAGAAGAATGACAAGGATAGGTTGCTTGTAAAGTGTTGTAAAGGAAAAAGACCACAATGCCCTTTTAGACCGTGGGCTTCCTGGATGAAAGATGAACAAACATTTCAAATAAAGTCCCTTAGAGAAGACCATAGTTGTTCAAGGGCATTCAAACTTGGGTCAATTGTTACCTATAAGTGGATAGGGAAACAATTTGTCACTGATATTCTAGAGTCCCCTAAAATGAGTTTGAGGAAGATGAAAGTTATGGTATCCAAGTTATTCAACATAAATGTTAGTGTTGGACAATGTAGGAATGCAAAAAGATTTGCATTGTGTGAAATTGAGGGTGATTTGAAGGATCATTATTCCAAGCTGTGGGATTATGGAGCTGAAATTAAAAGGGCCAACCCAGGATCTCATGTAGAAGTGTATGTGCAGCCCCAAAATAATTCTACTGTGGTGTTTGAAAGGTTTTATGTGAGTTTTAAAGGAGTGGTTGATGGATGGTTAGATGGGTGTAGGAAGGTAATTGGGATAGATGGATGTTTTCAATGTAAATTACAATCAAATGTTCACCATGTAACACTTCATTCAGTATGCAAACTCCATTCAATACATTTAATATAAACTATTCAGTACATTCCATATAAACCATTCAATCCCTACATTCAAAATACCACAATTCAATACATCATACAAAACTCTATTCAAACTGTTTTCATATAATATTACAACTGATTTCAACCCTATAACTATGTGCTTTATTCTTCAGCTCTTGAACTTCTTTCTTCAAACATGCAACATCCTCTTTAACTGCTTCAAGTTCTTGTTTTAAATCCGGATTCCCAGTCACAGGTTCATCAATCCATTCCCAATACTTACACTTCTTACCTGGTTTCTTTGAAATCAAATATAAAAATTGTAAGAACCTCAAAATCTTTATTTATTAGAAGGAAAATCAAAAGTACAGAGGGAAATCAAGATCGACATACCAGAGAATTAGGGCAAACTTTGAACTTTTTGTTAGGGTTGTCTTTAGTCTTGGATGTGCATATTCGAACTGGGAGTTGACAATCACATAGCTCCTCTTTCTTTGCGATGGAACCAGATGAACTAGGAGTCGACATCTTCTTCTTCGATTTTGGGTATGGGTTCGAATGTTTTTTGACTGAAGTTAGGGCTAGACATCGTATTATAATCAACAGAACTAAGAGATGATCCACGTATGAGTGTTTTCTTTTAATGAGTGTCCACATAGGTAGCCATGTTAGCAAATATGGAAGCAACCGGTAATAATGATTTAATTTAAACACAACAACAAGTTCAAAGGTAAAATGTGAACAAAAAAAAAATCAGGGACTAAATGTGTACAAAACCAATAATATGTTACAAGTCATTATCCCAAATATTTATTATGTTGTTATTCAATTTTGGTTTAAAACGAGTTATTCACTTTTATTCCAAGATTTTAACTCTATACCTCCTCCTGTATGCTTCTAATTTCCCTTGGACCAAAATTTTCATAGTGTTAATGGCTTAAGAATTTTCATTCCAGAAACTTCTACGTCTCTTCATGATTTCAAATCTCCAACTCTCTGCACTTTAAACCCAACGATTCAAAATTCACATGGCGAGAATCACTTCCATCCTCTTCTTCAAGCTCAAACATCAAACTCTCTTCTCCTCCACCTCCTTATTCCGCCACCACCTCCCACCGTTAACCGTCCCCATTCCACCCACACCCCCAAACGAATCCTTCTTTTTCCGACTCTTCAACAGCACCACCACTACTTCCTCTCAACAAACAACCACCCCAAAGCGCAACACCAAGGTAAACTTCTCACTCTCCGACTCCGAATCCGACGATGATTCCCAATCGCCACCAACGCCAGCCGTGAAAGAGATCGACAAGAGGAAGCTACCGCCACCGTACGACCCATTTAAGAAAACCCCAGTAATCCAAGAACCCGATGACCCCACAAATCTCCAGGAAGTGTTTCACAAAATACGCACAGACGGGCTCAACGATAGTGCAGTCAAGATGTTCGACGGATTGTCTAATGACGGACTCACCCACGAAGCGCTTGAATTGTTTTCCCAGATCAAAGATAAAGGCCAGATGCCGGACGTAGTGGCGCACACGGCTGTTATCGAAGCGTACGCCGCCGCTGGTAAAGCTAAAGAAGCCCTGAAGGTATATACGCGCATGCTTGCTTCCGGCGTCCTGCCCAACGCCTACACTTACACGGTGTTGATCAAGGCGCTGGCGGGGTCCGGCGACCAGAAACTGTTGGGGGAAGCGAAGAAGTATTTTGTGGAGATGATGGGGAAGGGGATTAGACCGAATCCGGCGACATGTGTGGCGGTTATGGAGGGGTTTGTGAAGGGAGGAAAGGAAGAAGAAGGTAGAGAAATGGTGGTGAAGATGAAGGCTCTTGGAATGGCTCCTGATGAAAAGGGTGTGAGGGAGATTTTGAAGAACAAAAGAGGTCAGGTTTTTCGATCAGTTATCAACATTTTATTTGAAAAGCTGAAATGAGTTAAACATAGAGAGATTACATGTTAAGAACTACCTCCTTGTTGAAAGACAATGTCGAATGCAAAATCTTGATTTTTGTGATGCATCTATTTAAATTTGTTTTGATCAAAGAATATATTGTCTTTTTGATGATGATTGATGATAAGACGATGATATATTTTGGGTTTTACGATTTCAAGAAAATCACTTTGATACATAAACATAATTCAAGGAAACACTCATTGATTAATAACGAAATCAAGAAAATCACTTTGATACATAAACGTAATTACTCAAATAAGACAAAAATCAAGAATCCCGAAGGGGAACACATTACACAGGGGAAAAAGATGCTGCTACATAAAGATAATCTACCGATTTTGCCCTCAGATTTCTGTAGCATCATGGTTATCCACTTTTTCCTATTTTGACCAAGATCCAAAGCACACCACACCACACCGACTGCCAGCATGGGCGGCAGTTGGTGGCCTCCACCCCTTTTCACCGGAGCAATGATGGTTAACACTTGAACAACAGAAGAGCATCAACTAATAGTCTTGCTTCTTAGGGCATTCAGAAGCCCTGTGCCCTGACCTCCCACAGTGGAAACATGGGCCCACAAGATTTCTGTTTTGTTCACACATTCATTCAGTATAACCCTCAGATTTTATTGTATAAAGTTGGCCAAGGAATAAATGCAATAAATAGCAACATACTTCATTATATTATTTTAATTTTAATTTCATTTCTCCGATTACAATACATTGAAAATTGAAAAATCTACTCAATTAATTATAGCAATTGTATACTACCTGTCCCTATTTCCAAATGGTGGAGAGCGTGAAGATGAAGATGAAGATCGTCTGTCACCAATCAACCAATCACTTCCACCGGTGGTTGTCCTCGACCCTCCACCAGTTCTAGAGCCTCCTCCACTTGACCAACTACTACCACCACCACCACCTCTGCCGCCACTCCTACCGCCTTGCCGGAAGTTATCCCCTCCACCACCGGATGAGAATCGACTATTATTACCCCAACCACGAGACCCACCGGAACCTTCCCTTCTTGAACCTCCACCACCTCGTGAACTTCTCTCCCTGTTTGAAAACCTTCCATAAAAATCACTCGCTGGACCATTGTCTTCCAATACAGGCAACTGCAATTCATATCCCTTATATATCTTCAATATAACAAATTAACAAAAACAAAAATAACATATACATTTTTCAAAATCGAAATTAACTTCACCTTGTTAATTTTTGTAATAGTGGTGCCAGGTGGCATCTCCTTAGTTAATAAATTTTTCGCAATCTCTTCCGGAAGATCAAAAACAGCACCTTGAACCTGATGACAAAATATATATATATATATATATATATATATATATATATATATACAAAAAGCAAAAATCATATATCTGGCGGGGCCCACCACCAACTATTATTTTTATACCTTTTTATCTGCAATCACATGAATTTTTCCAAGTGCACCAGCAGCCGTAGCATAAACACTGGACAAAAATCCAGTAACCGTTCTAGCAGACATGTACCCTTGCAACGACGACTCAGAATCCCGCGTCATTTGCAACGTCATCCATCCCTATCACGCAAAATTACAAAACTACCCTTATAAAAAACGTATCAAAAATCAAAATAATTTCATATAACATACCTTTTCATGTGTGATTAAAGAACGGGAAGATGGTGGTTGGGAGAAACCGCTCATGTGTGCAAGGGCTGCAGCGAGAGCCCGTGTCCCTTTTCATCAATTAACTTTTGGGCAGTTGGAGTGAAGAATTCTATGGAGTCATTATGAACACATGAAAGGGTAGCGATTACTTGTTTGACTGAGGAATCCAATAGATCTTCGACAGCTGGCGGACTTATATATTCGAATTTGCATCCAACATCTTGCTCCAGAGATCTAACGGTTCTCCTTTGATTATTTGTGTACATCAAAATCGCCTTTCCTTCCTTTCCTGCGCGCCCAGTTCTACCTGATCGATGCACAAAAGTTTCCGGATCGTTCGGTAGTTCGTAGTGGATAACCTAAATCGTCATTTTATTGATTTAGTCGGTTTAACTATTTTTTTTAGATAATAATTAGATTGAAAATGGTGAAAGTACATTACATTGTGACTTTCTGTATCTTGCTCGAATATAATAATTACAAGATATAAATAAACAAAAAAAGCATACCAAATCAACATTGGGTATATCAAGTCCACGAGAAGCAACATCTGTGGCAACAAGCACTGTAAACTTTCCTTGTCTGAATCCATTCAGTGTTCTCTCTCTTTGATGTTGAGATATGTCACCATGTAATGCCTCTGAAACAATACTACTAGTCAACCCCAATGACACCTCATCTGCATCCCTTTTTGTTTGAGTGAAAATAATCGTCTTCCCACCCTTTGCATATACCTAAATCCATATCTCAAGTTTATAAATATAAGATTTTTCATTAATCAAAAAAATAAATAATAATAATTTTTTTTTTCAATGGTCATACCGTGACAAGATCACTAAGCATTGACCGTTTTGAAGTTGAGGTAGATTGTATAGCATAGAGCTTGATACCTTCTGCTAGCTTCTCATCTTGATCACCAACCTTTTTAATAAGCATCATGACATAGTTTAAGACAAATAAGAAGAAAATATTATGTAAATTGGAATGTTAACATGTCAAAATCGACTTAATGAGGACATGACTTAATATAGTAAACTATATTAAGTTGATGTGGAAAGAATATCTTAATAAAGTCGGGGAAATGAGGCTTTCCTATTTATAGTGTAAAAAATGGTAACTTGAAAAAATCTTGGGTATTCTATTCCTAATAAAAAATAAAATGTAGGGTTGAATGTAAGAAATAGCAACATATTTTCATTGATTGTTTAATATAGCATCCTACTTTTATTTCTTAAAATAACATCATTGTACTTTAAAAAACATGCCCAATTATAGCAATGCTATCCAAATACAAAGCAATTTCAATAAAGTATATTTTTCAAAGTATAATGTCAAAAAAAGAAGAAAAATAAAGGGTTAATCTCATAAAAAAAAAAACCCTTATATTTTGTGTTTTCTCCAGATTAAACCTCAACTTTATTTTTTGCCTGAAAAAGACCTTGTATTTTTTTATTTTTCCGAAAAAAAACCCTCAACTTTGTCTTTTTTTCCGAAAAAAAAACCTTCAACCTGCTAACTGCTTCCAAATAAACCCTCAACTTTTTTAGCTTTTCTCGAAAAAACCCTCACATTTTACAATTTCTTTTTGGAAAAAAAAAACAACTAAAAGGGCCAAATCGGAAAAAATGAAAAAATACAAGGTCTTGTTAATTAAAAAACAAATTTGAGGTTTAATCCGGAAAAAACGCAAAATATAAAATCTTTTATGAGATTAACCCAAAAATAAAATCAAAAGTACAATGCTATAATCGGACAGATTTTCCAAAATACAATGCATAATAAGAAAAACATCAAAAGTATAATGTCATAATATAAAGAAAGTAAGAAACGAAAGTATGTTGCTATTTCTTGCGTTTATCCAAAAAAAAAAAAAAAAACTGACCAAATCAATAGTCAAGGGGGCTTTCAAATATTTCCTTGAGAGTTTTTGAACCCAACCAGGCATAGTTGCTGAAAAAAGCATGCTTTGTCTTTGTGAAGGAAGTTTTTGTAAAATAACTTCAACATCTTCCTCAAAACCAACCGCAAGCATTTGATCAGCTTCATCAAGAACCAAAAATTGAACTTCCCCTAATTTCAAAATATTACTATTCACCAGGTCAATGAGTCGACCGGGTGTCCCAACCACTATATCAACCCCACGACTCAGTTGGTTTTTCTGTAAAGTGTAAGAGACACCACCATACACACACACTGTTTGCAAATAAGGTGCAGATTCTTTGATTTCGTTTTCTACTTGCTTTGCTAATTCTCTTGTAGGTGCTAGAACTAAAACTCTTGGCATACGTCCCACAATCCTTTAAATAAAAAAAGAAGGAAAAAAAAAATGGAAAATTTGGTTAGATCCTATAAATTATTGGGATAAATTTGTATTTGAATTACATTGACGTGATTGGGTATTATATTTTTCAAAGTACAATTATCCGTTTTTGAAAAGTACAATGAATTTAGTAACAGTCTTTATGATCCATTGACCGAATTATATATGAAGGGAAAGTACGTTTTTATATAAAAAAAACATTTTTTTATTTTTTTGCATAGGTACCTATTTCGGTTTTGTTCATCTTCTTCAGTGAGTTTTTTGATAATAGGAATTGCGAAGGCTAAAGTCTTCCCTGTTCCTGTTTTTGCACGACCAATAATATCTCTGCCTTCTAATGCAGGAACCAAAACGGCTCTCTAAAAATCCAAAAATTAATATCACAATTAAATTTCGACAAAAACAACCTTAAAACAATTGTAATCACAAAATACTAAGATTTTTGGTTACACGTTTTGAAATTGAAAGGTGTAATAGATGGTATTATGATGTGATTTTGCTGCTTTTGGAACATTATCACGTTTAATCATAAGATAACACATTTTCAACAATAGAAATGTTGAAAATAACAATAGAAGCATTTAAGAAGTGCATAAATAAAAGGGAAGAAATGGTGAAATTACTTGAATTGGGAAAAGCTTAGTAATTCCCCTCTTAACAAGAGTTTCAACCAGTCTTTGAGGCAACCCCAGTCTACGAACTGAAAGCTCATCATCATCGTCAACACTGGCGCCATCATTACCATCAATGGGGGCTTCAAATTCAGACTCATCGTCATACTCTGCGTCACCATCGTCTTCCAAAGAAGAACCTTCATCGAACACACCAAGACCCTTAAACGCCTCCTCACTAAGAACTGAATTCCGCGCCGCAATTGCCGACGCCACGAAAGTAGAACCACCTCCGCCAACGCCGACGCTGTTATGTCTGAGTCTGGATAGGGAAGTGAAGTGCGTTTTATCGGAAGACAACGGAAAAGCTAAAGGGGATGAAGGTGTAATGGTTTTCCTCGAGATATGCTCTAGTGAAGAAGGCGTTTTCGGGAAAAGGGAGGAGACGCCTATGATGGAGGAAGAACACGACATGACGGTGGTGCTGGTGGCGGGATTTCGGAAAAGGATAGGGCGATAAGGGTGAGAGGTTTATGGATGTATGGTAGTGCAGACCTCTACCTCTTGCCTGTGACTAAACCCACGAATTTATAGTACCCAATTTTTGTTTGTTTCTCGTGTGATTTTACTGGATATTTAGCCAAGAGTATAAGTATATAGAATTATGATTTTGCAAAATATTTCGTTTAATATAGTTTCTGTTAATGTAAACTATTGGGCGAAAATATTTCGTTTAATATAGTTTCTGTTAATGTAAACTATTGGGCGAGCCTGTGGTGAACCACCGGTCATCTTTGTGGCTATTTTTGTACGTTTATTGAACCCGGTATTATTGAAATGTGTTTTTTTTATTCACAAATGATGACGATGAGAAAACCATGACAAAATGAAACCCAAAACAAAAACAAAATCGATAGATGAAAAAGAGACAAAAGGAATGTCAAAATGGTCAAAGGGACTGAAAGTGAGAAATATTAAAACATGTGTGGCCAATCTGTAATGAAAAATAAGTAGTAAGACAAAAAGAAGGCCAAAATGGTCAAATATTCAAAAACATGTCGTCAATCTCTAATTACAACATGATATTGATTAAAATTGTCAAACTATAGAAAATATTATGGTAAAATCTTAAAACATACAAAATAGTGGGACTTAAAGTGGCAAATATTAAAAGACATGTGTCATTCTCTAATTATAACATGTAAGGGACTAAAATTGTCAAACTATACAAAGTATTGTGGCAAAATCTTGAAACATACAAAATATGGACTAAAATTGTCAAACTATATAAAATATTGTGCCCAAAATCTTGAAACATACAAAATATACTATTACTAATGACTATGACTATTAATATTTTACATAAATTAAACATTTGGTTAATTATGTGTTGGAACTTTGTTTTATGCATTGTGATCTAAACTCACAAAATTTCTTGTCAGATTCAAGATAACTCTTCGATAAGTTGTATCCTCAAAACCGGCGACAACTCTGAGAAATTAAATATCCTCAAAGACCCAAGACGAACCAGACAAAAGGATCCTTATCGTTATTATAAATTTTTATTTTTAAATAAAAATATATAATAAAAAAATTAGACCCTGTGCAGTTGCCCACCATACCCCCTCAACGCCCCCATGCTCAAAACAAATATTAAAAGGACAATGTGTGTCGATCAAAGCACTCAACATTGCTTTAATCATTAAGTGGTGGTGGCGGTTATGATATGATCCCTCTCTACTATGGAGTAGGGTCATCTCATGTATACATAATCTATACTCCAAACAAGATGATTATTACGCCAATAAGCACATCATTGGCATGTGATTGTGGGGATAAAAATGGAATTGCCGAAACTCGGAATTCCTATCTCTGATATCTTCTCAAAAGACAGGTAATGCAAACAATGTAGAATGGTGATGTAACTTAGCTCTTGATGGGCTATATTCGGACTCGGTCCATATGTTAAGGCAGAAAATTGACCAAATTACCCTTATAAACCTGGAAAATATCGATTGGCTGAAGGAGGTTCCAAACAAAGTTTTGTGCTTTATCTTGAGAGTTGGAATGGGTCAATTCCATATGCCATAACGCTTCAAAGAAGGGGGTGCATCTGGACTCACTTGTAACGCCCGGTTCCCGGTACGTATTTTATTATAAGTTTTTGCATAATTACATAGGGACTCGACGAGTTGGAGGCCTAACTCGTCGAGTAGATGCGAAGGATTGGACGCGGGTGGAAGTATCTACTCGCCGAGTCGGAAGCCCCGACTCGACGAGTAGACCTGTCTGGATGAAACCCTAAATTTTCGGGTTTGCGCCCTATTTAAACACTTTAACTGGCCTCCACTCCAGCCTCCATCACCCTCAGACCCCATTCTCGAAACCCTAATCAGTTGTGAGTGTTCTTGAGCTATTTTGGTGCCATTTTTGTGATTTGAAGCTTGGAGAAGGAATGAAAGACTTGGAGGTTCAAGAAGAAGGCAGTAGATCCAGAGTCTTGGTTGCATTTCCAGCTTGTTTGAGGTAAAAAGCTTCAACCTTGACTTCCCAATTGTTAGATCTTCTTTAGGGCTTGAATCTTGTCATTTTTAGGGCATTTCTAAGTCACAAACGGTTGTAGAGTGTATAGTAGAGTAATGAATTCAGATCTTGAACCTTGGAGGGTTCTCATGGCATAAAGGTGCCAACTTTATGGCCATGAGAGCCCCATGTATCTTGTAGACTTCATTTTTGGACCTTTTGAGCATGAAGACCCATGCATGGACGTAAAGTTCGTGACTTTACGTGATATATGGACCCTAGGAGGTCAGATCTATGTTCTGGATGCATTAAGCCTGATTGAAATCGACTTGGTAGACTTGGACTTTGGGGGACTCGGCGAGTCGCTCATAGGACTTGGCGAGTCGGGTTATGGTTCTCCAACCATCTCTGTTTCTGATCGACCTGGTTAAGTATAGAAGAGGACTTAACAAGATGGTCTTGAATATGGACTTGAAGATCGAAGAACTCGACGAGTTCAAGGATGAACTCAGCGAGTTCAAGGCAATGTCCCAATGTACATGAAGAAGAACTCGACGAGTCAAGGAAAGACTCGGCGAGTCAAGGACTAACGTTCCAACTTGCATGCAGAAGGACTCGACGAGTTCAAGGACGAACTCGGTGAGTCATTGACTAAAGGTCCCGATTTCGTATGAATAAGAACTCGACGAGTTCTTGAAAGACTCGACGAGTAGGAGCGAGATTCCAGGATGTTAGTGGATTATGGAACTCGACGAGCTGGCGGACCAACTCGGCGAGTTGAGTCAACCAGATGTTGACTTTGACCAAAAGTTGACTTTGACCAGGGTGTTAACCTTAACTTTGACTTGATTTGAGTTGACCCTCGAAAGGGTTAAGAGTATGAAATGGTAATTAAGGAAGGTTGTTATGTGTAGGAGTCTGAGAGGAGTTAATCCCGGCATCGAGGACAATTCAGACACTTCACGTCATTGAGGTGAGTTACCTTCCTGTAGAAGTGGGTCTACGGCCACAATGTCGGCCCGCTAGTAGGAGTTATTTGATTAGATGATTGTCTTTGTGATAATTGTCTGGGTTGCCACTATCTGATATGTTTTATGTGCTAGGATGCTCTTTTATAAGTGTTAGTAGTAGAAAGGGTGGAATAGCCCCGGATACCGGTTGAAAGATACCGAAGGGGTAGACAACACCCACACATGTCTAGCAGTATGTTCATGATATGTTATTATATGGTAGTGGTAGGGGTGAAATAGTCCCCAGTTACCGGTTGAAAGATACCGAATGGGAGGTCAGCTCCCGGTTACCGGTTGGAAGATACCGAATGGGAGGTCAGCTCCCAAGTTACCGGTTGAAAGATACCGAAGGGGAGGTCAACTTCCGATTACCGGTTGAAAGATACCGAAGGGAAGTCCAGCTTCCGATTATGCCAGTCAGATACTGGTTGAAAGATACCGATGGGATAGGCAATATATGTTTATGGTATGTGGTATGATGGGGGAACTCACTAAGCTTCGTGCTTACAGTTTTCGGTTTTGTTTCAGGTACCTCTTCAGCGAAGGGGAAGGAGTCGGCACGGTAGCAGCGCATCGCACACATATGATTTCCACATTTTGAGATCCATGGGATTGTACTCTGACATTTGTATTATTTTGATGATATGGTTGAGACATATGACTATGGTTTTATGAATTGATATGATTCGATGATGTTTTTCAATAAACAATTTTATAAGTTACTTAATCAAAAACAAAATTTTTGGTCGTGAAAATTGGGATGTTACATCACTACTTGCGGGTATTGTAACCATGAGGAGGAATGTGGAGACCATATCCTTACTAAATGTTCGTTTGCAAGGTTCATGATGGAGTGGGTCTTCAAGTGGCGTTGAATCCATGTAGATCACTTCAACACAGTTGTGGAAGTTCTAGATTTTGCAACAGGGTGGTGAAATTGCTCAAAAAAGATATGAATCTTACAAGCTATTTGTTATGGGACTCTTTGGAGTATTTGGAAGGCGAGAAATGACAAACTTTTTAACAACCGTCGAAAATCCCCCACTAAGGTGGCAAACATGGTAAAATCTATGGTGTTCATATGGATCAAACACAAAAGAACTTTAGGAGGGAATGTGAATTGGATTGATTGGTGTGCCAATCATTTTCTATGTATTTAAATTTTCAGTTGTAATTTGTGTATCTTGTACTGCCACTTTTCTAGCTTCTTGCTAGGTTTGGGTTTTTCTTTTTTCTAATATATTTTCGATTCTAAAAAAACTCCAAAATACAAGCCTCAATTTCTTTAGAATTTGTGTGTAATCTATAATTTCGAGTATGTTTTCTTATTTGTTTTGGATTCTGTTTGTTCAAATTCAATAATACTAGTTATTTTGTTTATGTATTTTATAAAAAGTGTTCAACTCTTACTTAATGTCATAATAATCTAAGATATATGGCAAAGAGTGAAAATTGGATAAAAAATCGATCATCAAAATTTATGTGGAGAAATCTGAGAATTTTAAAGGTTCTAATTTTAAAAGATGGCAACGGTAGATGTTTTATCCAAAGTTCTAAATTACTGACGGCCGCCAGGACTGGGCAGACGCGCCTGTGGCGAAGAGCAGGGTTTCCAGTTGACGGCCGAGGAGGCGCGTGCAGCTCCCGATGTGGTGACGGGTATGTATCTTCTCCTTATCTCTTTATTTATATTGAATTGCTTGCTCATGTTTGTGTGTTTTATTTTAGGATCGTTCCTTGTGAACGGTATTTCTGCATTGGTATTGTTTGATTCGGGGGCGACCCGATCCTTTGTATCACTTGCGCTTATCAAGAAATTTTCTGGAGCTCAGGGGGAGCTGGATTATCCTCTAGATGTTGAGATTGCTGATGATAGGTCTGTTCGGGTTGCGAGGGTCCATCGGGGTTGTACTCTCCAGTTATTCAGCGAACAGTATCCGATTGATTTGGTTCCCATTCCTCTGTATGGGAACAAGGTTATTGTGGGCATGGATTGGTTGAACCCTAATGGGGCAGTGATCGA